AATAGTAATTTTGTCCTGAAGTAAAATGACTGGTTGTTCCAGAATGAGAAAGACGAAAGTGTAGGACAAAACCTGAATGGATTTCAGAAGTTGTAGAAGGTCCATAGAAAAGGAAACATTTCTTGTAGTCAGAGTTGGCTAATGTTCAATGTGTTTGTTTATGAGATTTAAAAAATGAGCTGTAATATCAAATAGCATATTGATACAAAACTAGAATTTTATTTTCATTCTTAAAATGGAAGTTTTCTTAGATTATTGGTCTGTTTTTTAATAAGATGCAGTGAAATGTTTTTCTTTGCTTTCTGAGTAATCTATTTAGAAAGCAAAGATTCTGTGTCTTTTCAGAGTAATTTTCCTTGCTTTATGTTGACTTTATCATGTCCTTAATTACTTGCGAACATAGTCTCACTTTTGAAAGTGCTAAAATTGTGCTACTTCCTATATTTACTTTTAAAATATTTTGTCTCTTTGGTTAGATAGCCAAGTAATGTTTTTCATTGGTGCATGATCTTATTTAACAAAGTGTTCAAACTTCCTGATAACTTTGATATTTTGCCTTACTAAACTCAAATCCTAAATGATATACTTTTTACCTCAAACCTTGAGTTTTCCCAGAGGGACCCTGGAGAATGACAAAGGATCTTTCACCTCGTAAAAACAGAAGTGCTAGAAATAATTACACTTATCTGATATATCAGGTTGTATGGAAGGCTTTGTCAAGTCAGAAAAGGTGCCAACCTTCCCTAGGTTAAATTTGTATGGGCAAAATGCTATTAATATAGATACTTCAGAAATGTTATGAGCTTCTTAGAGGTTTGCCAAAGCCCTTGCTGTCCTTGATATGTCCTGGTGCTGCTTTGTCTGATATTAAACAACAGTACAGTGTTATCGGCCATAATTCCAGTTCTTTTAAATTGTCTTAAGTCACAGAAACAACCAAATTTCCTTGTCAATTGCATTATTTTGTAATCAATCTTTAACGATGAGCATTTTGTTTTACACCGAGGCTTCTCTGACATCACTTGCTCTCTGCTATAGGCCAGAACGCTTCATCTTCAAGGAAAAGGAGCTGCCTCCAATCCCCATAGAAAGGAATGCATGAATTTAAAAAGGGTGATTATGGGTTTTGTTTGGAATATTGCTGATGCTAATTGTTCTATTTTCTGGATATAGGGAAGTCATTTCTCATTTGTCTTAAGCTATCCATAACTCATAACAGCTTAGTAGACTATACTTTTATAAATAGAAATGCAATATTCATTTTTGAGTCCCTGCCCAGTCCCTCCAGAATTCAAAAATTTTGGGGGGGCATCCTTATTTTCACGGCAATACAGTGATTTGCCTATAGGTTCAGTAAGAACCGCCCTCCTTGTTACACAACACTGGTTATACAGCCAAGGCTTTGAGTGGGTGTCATATTTGAGAATGATGCTCATGGAATCAGATATGACTAACAATTTCGAGCAACTAAGGTTGAATTTATGAAGCCAATTCTTACCAAACTGTCTTGGAAATACTAGTTCCAGCCTTACAAGTGAGTAAGGAAGGTCACTACCTTGCAGGTCCAGGAACCTTAGGCTATTTCAAGAAGCCAGTAATTCATTAAAATATGTAGGAACTGTGGGTGAAATCTTGTGGTGAGTTCTTGGCTTGGCTTCCTAGCCTTGAGAGCCTTCTAAAGGTTCAGTCTGAAATTCTTTAAAAAACTTCCAGCAAAGGAATTTTTAAAAGGCCTATATGGTCAATTCACCATTCTTGCTGCACCTGTACAAATAATCAGGCCATATCTAATGAGATCTGAGTTATTTTGTGATCAAGAATAACTACTTTGAGACTTTTTTTTATCAAAAAGGGGGTGCCCATAGAGAGAAATTTTGCATTTCAACAGAAAATATACCATATTATTGTGGGTTATTATATTCTGGCCCTGTTCATTGTCTTTGAGCTATTTTGCAGCTCTTTGTAAACTTCATGGTATTGTTACCTACCTGCAATTGGACTGAATCCTGCAATCTTGCACATATTTTCAACCCTTAACAAATGTTCAGTCGTTCCAATTTCCTTCAATATCTGGCTATAACTCTCCACACTAACATTTCTCATCCACCCCCCTCCTGATTTGGCAGCACTAAGACCTAAACCCTGACTTCCCGGATCCTTATGGAGACTCTCAGTTGTCTTGAAGCTGGTCTTTTCTCCCAGAGTCTGAAGAAGCACTGAGAGCTACACTCCTTATTACCCCAGCAGGCCACAAGGGCCAAATTTCACTGACTGGGTCAGTAAGGAAGGTCACGCATGCCCTTATATGGATGGCACCCCTTTTAGTGCCAAAACAACTGCCCTTTGCCATCGGCTTTTAAAATATGGTTCCGCTGATTTCACAGGAGCAATGCCCCCAGGAGTCCCCAGGAGACTATTTCTCAGACCCTGCTTTGCGCTACTCAGATCAATGATCCCTCTAAGCTGTTCAGCAATGAATGAATGTCACTCACCTTGAACAAAAAGAGAAACTGACAATGTTGAATTTCCCTGAGCTCTCTAAAAGTAGCAAAGAAATCCCGTGACCCTTTGCATTCTGGGAAACGGCTTATAGAAAAGAAGAAGGCTGTTCCCCTGTAGGACTTAGATAAGACTCAGAGATGACTCTCCTGTTTTCCTGTAACAAGACCAGACACAGAAAAATCCCCACTCTTTGCCTCATAAATAATTCGCTAAATTGTTTTGTACTCATTGATGAACTGGAACAAAATGCCATTAATCAAACTTTGGCCCACCTCAAGCCTAAACCAGCCTGAGAATAGGCTGGCTCCATAGGAAAATATTCTCTTATCTACTATGCAATCATGCCACCCTTTCATCCCACCTCCTCATATCTGATTCTTTCTAGCCTTGCATGACCAGCTCTTCAGATGTTTGCAGACCTCACAATGTCCTCCCTACTACAAAAGTCTCCTTCATCCTATTGCAATAGTCTCTTTCCCCTCCTGCAGTAATTCTTCTGCATAAAGTCTCTCCTTACTAAGCCTCCATTTGTTTTTTATTTCACAATATTTAACATACAGTAAAACACACCATTTTAAGGGTAGCGTGTGATGAATTTTGACAGATGTATACATCTATATAATCACCATCCCAATCGAGATTCAGCATGTTACTATCACTCCATCAAAGAGTGCATACTGTAAGATTCCAGTTATATAAAACTCTTTAAAATGCAAACCAATACACAGTGACAGAAAGTAGATTGGTGGCTGCAGGATGGAAGGGTTTCAAAGAAGCACGAGGAAAGTTTTGAGGGTGACGTATATTCATTCTCGGGGGGATGTCTATTCCTTTTCTAGTTCTGTCACAACTACACTTTGATACACTGTAATCTATGCACTAAATTTCAAGATTAAGTAGCACCCACACAATTTGAATACAGGATTAAGAAATGGGAGAAACCAAAAAATGGGTCAGTAGATTCAAATATATAATAACAAAGCAAGACATAACATGCATAGCTTCTACAGCTTTTAATTTTTGCAGCTGGCCATGAGGTCATAGTCAGTATTTATAACTTCCTTCTTCCAGTAGTACTTCAAGTTCTCTATAATTTCATCCAGCTGGTTGTGGTTCTTTACCTGGTAGAGAGATACAAACCTTCATTCCTGACCAATCGGAACCCTTCCTGGCCCTGCTTTCATGAGTCACTACAATCTCCCTATGAACCTGTAGTACTGGACGTGGGAACACTAAGACACAGTCCCAGAGGATTCCTGGGCTACAGACGTGGTCTCTCCTGCCCCCACTATGTAGCAGCAACCTTATTTCCCCTTGATTATCAGAAGCAATGAACTAGCCAGCCGAATAACCCTCTTCTTTGTTGGTTCAGTGACATGAGGGGTCCCAAATGATTGAGTGACAGTCTCAACTTCCAATTCAGGGGAACTAGTATTGGGTCCCCTGGAAGAAGACTTCCTCCCTTGGGACCTTCATGAGGAGAACATATTGTGCAGAGAAGCATCAGAAGAGGAATATGTTCTGTGGAACCTCCAGGGGATGCCACGTAGGGTGTATGGGTTGGGACCCTCACAGGTGTTGATCCATGGAATAGAGGAGACTGAGCACTGGAATCAGCCTGTTTGGTGGGAACCTGGTCTGCTAACTGATTTTTCAAAACAACGCTACCCTATTTTTTTTTCCGGTCTTTTTGTCACACACTGCCACAGACAGGGAATCCTAGAAATAGCTGGTTAGGAGCTACTGCTGTAGTCCTTGTTTTTTGAAGTAGTAAAATCTCTTCTTAGTTTTCCGTTTGTACTCATGTGGCCAAGATTATGGCTGAGAAAGTAGCTACAGGGACACAGCGTCAATAGCTGGTGAATACTGAGTCCCAAGGTACCTTCTCAGTAGTGCAGGGATTCCTGCCATGTCTTCTATCTTTGGACTGAAATCTTGATCACCCTTTTTTTGTCCCTGGGATAGATCAAGATATAGATGGTATGCAAATTATATTTTCACATACAAAACTTGGAAACATGCATCCCTTGATAGGCAGAATGATGCCCCAATAGGATTCTGACAGCCTGGGGCACTGGCCTTAATGAACAAGATGAAACAGTCCTGCCTATTGGTACACATTTGGAGGAATATCAGATGTGGGCTTCGGGGCACCTGTGAACAGAGTCTGTCCACAGACAGAATGGACTTGTAAGTGACTGAGTTCCTGGTCATTGCAAGTTTGCAATAAGGATAAGATGGCCATCTGTCTGCACTGGTAATAAAGGGGAAGATGAACCCAAAAGTATAAAATAGTCCTCATTAACATCTGACAAGTCTAGAATTCCATACTTCCTGTGCATGCATAGTTTCTAGATTTTGCTATTTTTTTTTCTTTAGATTTGGTACTTCTTATTTGCTTTTGTAGGGAGAATGGCTTCAGGTAGTAGTAGAAAATAAATCTCACAGCCAAATACATCAAGTTGTTATGCTTAAGAAAGGAAACCTTAACATTGCTATTTCTCTTAACATTTATTATAACTGTGTACATTAGTGTGGTTTAAGCAAGTTTGAATTAGGCAATTAAAAAGGAGCAAAAGTGCAATGCAGCCACCCCTCTTCCTGAAGACTGCAGAATTCTGTGCCTTTTTTAGACACGGAAGAGGCCATTTTGGATCAAAATCAATATTGATCTTGTAAAGCTTTCTGTCAGTATCTTCCATGTTGTTTCCAAAACTCCCTTAAAAGAATAATTTATATTGAAGGTGGGAAAACCAGCATATCTTGGTCCTCTTCATCCTGTATTCCATCAGCTGGGCCCAAATCAAGACTCAGGGATGGCACCTCCTTCCCAAAGGAGTACCTTTTCTTTCCCTTTTACTCATTCATTCAGCATCTGTGTGTCAGTGCCTACCATGTGCCAAGTCCCATGCTGCAGGATAGAGACATGAGGAAGACCAGCTCATCTTTAGGGTTGACACATGGCAGATTGTATTACTTCACCCCTCCAGAACAAATCTGATACGTATCTATGGGATATTCCTCTCTGATCATGTGGAAGAAAGAACAAGTCCTCCAGTTGATGTGCACAGGGCTCAGAAAATGGAGAGAGATGGAGATACATCTTCTAATTAAGTCAAGAGAAGAGAGCCTCATTTTTGATCAGGACATCTCTCAGGTTGTTCCCTCTCCAGGAGTTTACACAGTGATGCTGATTCCAAAGACAGAGAAGCCCAGTCAAACCTGAGCAGAGCATCAGCTGACTGCATGGATGGGCCTGCATCCGTTCATCTGGCCAACAGGTTTCCAAGTTGAGTACCTAGGACCCCAGTGGCTGCTGCTAGCTTGGGACAGAGTCTGGACTGGAAAATAGGAGGTCACCGAAGGTCCTGTGCTCAGACTGGCTAGCCCACCAGAGCTTTCTCTGGGCTGACAAGCTCTTCTTTGGGTAGGTGTGTGAATTGAATCTCTTCCCAGATGAGAGCATCTCAGTTCAGAGGCATTTTCATGGTAAGGGGAAGATAGGAAACAAGGTAAGTTTGGTCCTTATGGTACTTCATGAGGGGGCCTAGGATGTCCAGAGGAGGAGTACGATTTCATACCTTGCCCTCTTTGTAAGAGTGGGCCCGGGGTAGGCTGGGGAGTGGGGGCAGGCGGTGTTACCTGGTAGGATGAGGTAAACGCCACACAGTATTTGGCACATGCTTAGCACTAAATCCATGCTTGCTGGGGAGAGAGACAGCAATGGTTCTGCTCAATGCACAACCACCTCTATGAGCCTTGACAGCCTCATCTGTAAACTGGGGACAAGAATGCCTTCTGTACAGGATTATTATGAACATTAATGTGTGGTACATAGTAAGGCCTCAAGAAATGTTACCTGCTTTTCTCCCTTCTTAATTCTGCTGGAGTCAATGCACCCTAAAACTTATTTTAAAGGATTTCAGTATCAAGCTTAGGGATCAAGTGTTGAGGGCAAAAGTATAAATCAGCTATCAAGATTCAGACACAGATGTCCCTTTGGACAGTAGCCTCCTAAGAATCACCTCTTATAGAATTTAAACCTAATTGTGCACATTTTCTAATACATGCCCACATGCCTGTAGGAAAGAACTCAACTGTAATGAAAGATGGGTAGGAGGAGTTAATTAAAATCTGCTACATAACTCAATCAAAACTAACTACTTTGAAAAGTACACGTAAAGTTAAAAAAAAAACATATATGGCAAAGAGACAAGCTAAACATTACCTATCTAACATTCAATGGCTTCAATTACCCAGCGGGGATCGTCAACAGTCTTCAACTTGACGCCTCAGAGGCTTCAAATGGTCTCTTTCTTCCCTCAGGTCTCCAAGGTACACCCATAGTTATGAAGCACAGTGTGGTTTGTGCCCTTTCCCAAGAATCAGGACACACTGCACTCCATGCTCCTGCCTATCATACCAGGCCACCTAAACTCATCAGGAAGCCAACCTGTCCTAGTCAAGTCAAGATGGGAATTCTTGTTCAATCCTCTTTGCTTGAGCCTGAAATAAGATCATGGATGTGAAGTGCTTTTAAGCTATAAAAAGCTACACATGCAAGTAATTATCATAGCATCATTAAGATACACTGCTGGCTGAAAGCAAGTCCGACTTGAGAAGGGCAAAATCATGAAAAGATCAAGGGACGGAAGAGGGACGAGCAACTTGGGGCAACTGGGGAGAGCCAAACTTGTCCGGGGATCATCAGCTGCTTCTCAGCCTGGGGAGCCAAGAGAAACAGGAGGAACTATGAGATTGGAAATATACGTCCAACCCAGCGCCCAGCCAGAGGCTCCTGGGGGCGGGTAACTGCTTCAGGCATTAGGAGTAACAGTCCAGGTCAGTGTGTCTTCTGGAGCGAAGGCAGAAGAGGCTTGTAGCTGGTGAACAGCCTGGTTGTTACCCCTTCCCATTGTCTTCAGGGGAGATATTCTGCTCTGTGCTTCTAGCTGAGGAGGGCAGGCTGACAGGGTCTGGAAAGGCAGTGACTGTCCTAGGAGCACCAGGCCCCACACAGCTCAGGCACTGGGGTCAACGATTCCACAGGCTTTTAGCATACAAACCTGCCCTCAGGCAGTGCTGACAATGTGGCCCATGGGCCACACAAGCAACCCCCCCTCCCCCGCCCTACACACACACACACGTGTTCACGTATCCTGGCCTTTACCTGCTGCTTGGGGACCTGGCTCTATCTTGCTTTATTGAGCACGTTGGCTGTCAAGACCTGGCCTGATGATATACAAGCAATGGTAGAGGCAGCCAAGGGGACTGCAGCGGAGAGCCTTGGACCTGAATCCAAGGTCCTGATTCTGCCACTCACTAGCTAGATTTTTGCCCAAGCCCTTTTCCTTTCAGGTCATTTCCTTGTCTCCAAATGAGGCTAACAACACAAACCTGGCCAGCACCCCAGGGAAGCTTAGAGGGTTCAGCTGAAGTACTGCATGGAAGGTATTACTTGAGAGAAGAGACTATGAACCCTGCAACGTGGAAGCATCCCTGGGGTGGGTCTTTATTCATGCCATCTAAGACTTCAAAGTGTCACAGGCTTTGGGGACATAAAGGCTAAGAGAAATAGCAGTGTCCTAGATTGAGACTCACGGAGAGGCCAGGGCACATGTCTTCCCTCTAAGAAGTTTCTTGGCTGCTCAGTCCTTGGGCGGGCCCTAACACCCACCTAGAAAAGCTCCTCATAGCATTTCCCACAGTGGACGGTGTCATGGTGAATGAAGATCTGGTCCAGGAGCTCACCCATGGGTTTGTTACAAATCCCACACTGAAAGAGAAAGCAAGCTAGAGGTCAACACACAAGTGAGGAAACATCAACGAGTGGAGTGTGGAGGGAGTAGCTGAGCAAGGTGGGCAGGCCGACACAGAGCTGATGGCACATCCCGGACTTTGAGGCAGACAATAGAAGATGGCAGGAATGGCACACACACACAGACACACGCACACACACAGACACACACACACACACACACACACACACACACACGCACACACACGCACACACACACCCTAGCAGGTCATGTAGTTCTTAGGAGCCCAGGTTTCAGAGTTAGGCCTGGATTTGAACCCTTAACTCCACTAATTATTGACTGGGTGAACTTGGATAAATTACTGAGGCTCTCTGAGCTTCTATTTCCTCATCTATAAAGTGGGCACCCTGGCAGGCTACAGGAAGATTTAGTGAGGTAGCCCATGTAGAACACTCAACCAGGGCCAAAGTAAGTGCTCAGTAAATGCCAAGGTCACTACTGTTGTAGGAGGGCTGGGGGACATTAACTGTGACACTTAAGGTCCAAAGGAAGATGATGTATGAAGTCCAATGAAAAGAAGTCTATTTCAGCAGTCCAGGCTCCCTGACCTCATGACTCGCAAACCTGCCTCCCCAGTGAATGCCTGAAGGATGAGAGCAGCCAGCTGACTGCAGCACACACCCCTGGTGGCCTGCAGTGTTGAATAAGAGGAGCCCAAGAGTCCCCATGTATCTGGGTCTCCAGAAGTTTCCAGACCCGCCCCAGGCTGAGCCTCCTGGCTTCCAGCTTGCAAAGGGTGCTGGGAGCAGAGAAAGACTGCTAGCATCCTCAACTCTCTCTGCTTATTCAGCTTCCTGTTCGGCAAGATGTCTGAGAAGGAGCCCAGCCATACAGAGCACAAGCTTTTCCCATACTCTCCCAACCTGTGAGAGTCCCGAGCTCTGGCCGATGCTCTCAGCTGTGCCACCCCTCTTCCTTACCTTAAAGCAATAGTCATGACAGCAGATGCCAAGATGTTCCAGGATAATCTTTGGACAGTCTCGTATGTCCTGGTTGCAGTAAGTACAGATCCCCCCAGTTGTTCTGTGAGATGAAAACCAGGAACTCAGCCAGACCCCTTGGTTTGACACAGCCACACAGAGGTTTGCAGCCAGGATTCACAGCCTGCCACCTTTTCCCATGGTGTGAGTTGGCTCCCTAACCCGGGGCTAGAGTGGGGCTCAGCCCACTGTAGGCACTCACACTAATTCCAGAAGCTGGCCATGTGTCTTCACCCTACTCGCTACTGTATGTGATTTTTATTCCAGGCAGCTCGCCTCCCCCTGCCCCCTTGCCTAGCATATGTGGGGGCGCTGCTCCCCTCTAGAACAGGAATGTCTTCTCCTAGGGGAAAATGCCCCTGTATGTCCTACCTACCCATCTTGATGGTCCTTCTCTTTGTGCCTGGCACCACCAGACCCTGCCTCTCAGACCCCACACTCTTGGAGTGACCCTGCGTCCTTGATACTCCAGGGACCATCACAGAGTCAGTCTGGCCATAGAGCCTGCTAGGACCTTATGCTGAAGTTCCAGTTACCGACCTCGAGGTTGACTACCTCCTGAGTTCCAGGATCCCTGCCTTTGTTAGAGGATCACCCCTGCTTTTCCTCCTCAGACAGAACCTGCTGACAAGGCCTGCATGCCTCCATCCTTCAGGCCCATATTGGGGGTGCTTTCTTTCAGAGATTTGGGTCTGCTTCTGATAGGATCCAGGGGTGTTGCTATGAAGCTGGAGTCCCTGTGGCCATCTCGGGCTTGTTCCCCGTCCTGCTCAGTCTCCTGAGTGCTGCGGAACACTGCAGCCCCGTCCCAGCCTGGCTCCTCCCATGTATTCTACCAGGTTCAGCGTACAGTTAGTTAGTCAGGTAGCAGAGGAGAAAGACCCGTGACCTGGACTAGTCAGGAACCTGGGCTTTCATCTGGCTCTGCCACTAACAACCTGTTTCCGTCACTGTCCTGTGACCGAACCGGATCTCTACAACTCCTTCCTCCCTTATTCCAAGAATTTAATACCGGAATTTCATTAGCAGGTACACAATCCTGTGACTGCTGTCATTTCGTGACAGCTTTAAAAACTGCTGCATCTTCACTCAACGGGAGTAAATCGTTCTTTCTGGCTCTCCTCAGGCTTCTCAGCGGCAGCGACCCGGTGTTTTTTCCCACCTACCACTGTCTTCTGCATTCCCCACCCCCACCCTCACCGCCAGTCAGAGTGGCAGGATCGTTAAGTGGTTCTGATCTGCTGACACGAATCCCCGGGGCTTTCAGACAGCACCACTTCCCTGATCAGTAGCCCTTTGTGTTCGCCCTCTGGTCTTAGCTGGGTTCACAGGGTAGCTGGCACAGTGTGACATCCCATGCAGTGGTGGAACAGATTTGCAAGTGGATCAGAAGCAGCCAAGCCGCAGACCACAGAAACAGACTTTGCGTGGACGTCTCTCTCAGCTGTCTCTCCTGTGGTAAACTCTGCAAGCCCCGTGGCAGGACAGCAGACTTACGTCTTGGAGTACAGAGTGCTGTCACATGGGGGTTTCCTCACGTCACATGAGTTCTCAATGCTGCCGCTGCTGTGCGGAGTGTGATTGGGGGATGGGGGCAGCAGATGGGAGCTAGATCACTGCCACAGTCTTGCGTGGGGAACGCTTTTCTGATTAACCCTGTTGCCACAAACTGAGACATGGCTGTGCATGGCCTGCTGTTATCTGTTATGCTAAATAGCAGATGAACCTTTGAACTTGGTGCCAGGGAGGCATAATTCTCTTGGAGAGGGGTCCTTGCATAGGGATCAAAGATGAGCTGCCATGCTAGAAAGATGACAAGGCGGTTGGCTAGGATTCTTGAGACTGTGGATGCCAGAGGGCCCCCGGTTCCACTGACCAACAGGAAAGAAGCAGGGCTTTTCTCCCCATGTATGTGTCTGGGTTAGAATGTGACAGCCACTAGCCCCCACTCAGAGCAGAACTCAGACACTAGGGACGGGAACGAAGAAGAGAAGGAAGCGTAGTACCTGGGCTTAATTCACAAGGTGGGATTAGCTGTGAGGTTTTATTTTTCCTTTTTCCTTTTCATTTTTCAATAATATCACTTTTTACAACAGAAACTAATGGTTTAAGGAAAAAACAGTTGCCAGGGAATGGTCACTAGCCACAAGCCCTGAGATATGCTTTAGTGAAGCTGCTATTCTCACAGGAGTGGGGACCCCAGGAGGTAGTCAGGAAAGCTGCTGCTCAGAGGCTAGGTGGCCTGCCTAAGCTCATGCACGGCTGAGCTAGAACTGCAGCCTACGGTCTGATTTCTTGTGAGCATTAAGCTTATTTCTAAGCTTCCTGGAAGGTAAGGCAAAATGGGAAGACACAGTGGACAACATGGTTCTCATGACCCAATAAGTTCAACATGATTCTTACGATCCAATAAAGAAAGTCTACTGGTTTTTCATAAGATGTAACATTTTGACTGAATATTAAATTCAATTTTAAATAAATCTAATTGTCAGAGTGTTATTAAATTTAGGAGACTGTTGGGACTTGGAGAAGAAAAAGCAGGAGATGACCAGAGTTCAGTCATGTGACACAGAGGCAAATGTTGGATGGCAAGGGCAGCTCCCTCAACAGGAGTATACAAATAGAAAATAGACCAGTGGGGACCAGGGGCTGTGGCTGGTGGTGTGGGGGGCAGCTAATGGATATGGGGTTTCCTTCTGGGGTGATGAACATGTTCTGGAATTCGTGGTGATGGTGGCAAAACATTGTAAATGTACTAGATGCCAATGGATTGTATACTTTAAAGAATGAACTTTATGCTATATGAATTATACCTTAATAAAGCTAATGAGAAAAAACAGCCTACAGAGTTACAGGTGAAGAAACTGAGGCTCAGAAAGGTTGAGCATCTTGTCTAAAATTACCCAGCTAACAGGGGCTGAGCTTAGGCCATGCTCCTCATTCTACAGTGTCACTGAAAGCTGGTCCTGAATTCCCAGAGGCCCATTCCTGAAACAAGGCCTGAGACTCATCTCCGTCCTGACAGTGGCATGATGTGACATAAAAAACGTCTTCAGGGGGACACTGTCTCAGTGTGGGTTAGTTTTTAACTGATTTGACATAAAGGTACCCTTCCATATGGCATCAGGAAACAAGTGGACAGAGAGGCAATCAATGAAAAGCTACACATATATCACAACCTGCGGTCAAATGCGTGCTTAAATGAGGCAACCTGGCATGTCTGAAAGAGTGTGAGAGCTGAAGAGAGGAGCCCTGTGTTCTGGAACAGGATGGAAGTGACTAGATGGTCACTAAGGGCCTTGTGAGCTCTATAAAGCTCTTGGAATTTCACAAAACTTGTAGTCTACCAAGAAACAAAGATGGGTAGAAAGGGGTGGCATGAAGTGGGACATAGGATGAACACAAAGGCAGTGAGTTAGGACAGACGGAAAGTTATAAATCACATCCATGGGCAATTACATTATTCATCCATTCAACAAACGATGATGCTCTGGACCAAACCCTCGATGAGGTACTGGGGATGCAAGAATGAGGCTGACCCAGGGCTCGGCAGAAGGATCTGGGCTGTACTCTTACCTGCCACAGTGTGAAGACGCCAGCTTCCCGGAAGACACCTCACTAGCATTCGTGTACTCCTTCATGAAGAGAACCCCTTTGCTGAGAACAGATAAAGGTATAGCAGAAGATTCCGGGAGACTGCGCCTAGCCCAAAGGAAGAGTCCAGGGCCGGGAAGACCCCCACCTGATTTGAAGGAAGTGAAGGAGCTCATGGAAAGGCCTGGGGACAGGTGCTGGCGGGCACCAGCCACTGCCAAGGAAGGACAGCACATCACCACTGGCTGCAACTCCTATTCTGCTCCGTTTCCATGCTGGCTTGATATCAGCAGATGCCCCTCTAAGTCTCCCCACAACAAACACCCCCCTCCCCCAGCCTCCCCACCACGGCACCCTTCCTGCACTCTGACTGCGCCCAAGGCCAGGAGTGCAGGGGAGGCAGTGGGAGTGTGCCACTCCTCACAACAGGCAGATGTGGTACAGGCAGACCTAAGTCGTGCCTCAATGGGCTTTATTTGGCCTTCCAGGTATGTTCCCCACAGGGTATTAGCAGCACTTCAGCTTCTCATTAGGATAGGGAGAAAGGGGGTATGGTGGGACCCTGTCAAACAGGACTTTATACTTGGGGACCCTTGGGCTGCACGATGTGGCCCCTCCACCAATGAGTTGCTGGAAGTTGGGGGAGGCAGTAGAGCTAAGGTCAGGGAAGTGATGTGGGACAAAAGCCAAGTCTCTTAGCTCCAGGGAGGAAGTATCCCGGAGAATATTTCCCAGGTTTTCCCTTTTTACCTGGCTGACCTGGAGTCCAATTCACTTGGGGCGGCTGGGATGTAAACATGAGGCTGCTCAGTGACCACACAGCCCGAGGGGTTGCTCACCCTGGAAGAAGAGGAAGGAGGGACAGGTCGTCAGCACGGAGAGCTGACATCTTCTCTAGTCAAACAGGACTTGGGGGCCTAAAGCTTTTAAACAACCCTGGCAAATCACTGAGCTTTTGCTCTCCCAGCCAAGGGAGACAGGGGCAAAGGACTCGGGGCATCGCCAGGTGCCAAGCCACCCGCCAGCCTACGGCACAGGAAGGTGCCACGGAGACGGGAAGGGAACTGGCTGGAAGGGGAGGCCCTGGGAACCCGGAAGGACAGCTGGGGGATAAGCTCCAGAGCCAGAGACTGACAAGAGGAAGGGACAACTAGCAAGTTACCCACACCCAGCACAACGCGAGGACACAGCAAATCTGTAACAAAAGAGCCCATGGGGCTGCCTCCAGGACTGCAGTGGGCGGCCTTCAACTCAAGGGCTCCCCTCCCTATCCTCCTCCGGAAGATCCCACCTTCCTCCCATACCCTTCCCCGCACCCCCCGCCCCGCCTAGGAGGGCTGGCCCGGGCCCCAGCCACCCGACCGCCTCCTCCCTCCCCCCTTCACTTCTTACCCCCCCACCGCCCTAGGGCCCTTCTTTCACTTGCTTCTTCCAGATCCCCTATGCCGTTATGGCCTCTCTACGGGCTGCTCCCTCTTCCCGCATTTTGTCTTTCCAGATTCTGCCAGGCTGGCTCCTCCTTGTGCTACAGATCTCAGCTGAACTGTCCCCTCCGCAGCACAACAGCTTCTCCAACCATCCTAGCTACATCACCTCCTGCCCTGGCTTCTCTCCATCAGGGCACCCAGTTTCCTTCTTTTCTGGGCTTATCACAAATGGAGAGGCAGCAGATATAACACAGTGTTTAGAAGTATGGGCTCTGGGTTCCAAATGGCTGGATTCTAATCCCTGTTAGGCCACGGCCGGGCTGGATGACTACTGGCAAGCTTCTTACCCTCAGTTTCTCGTCTGTAGCATGGAGATAATGGTAGTACCTCCCTTACAGGGCTGGCCTGAGATGTGAGCACGGACGTAGCAAAGGCTAACAGTTATCACCATGTTTAGCAGTTGCTGCACTGTGTGCTCCCCAAGGGCAGGGGGCAGGGCTCTGGCCATCTTCTTCTGTGTGTATATGGCTGCTGCCTACAACTGGCTCTCAGGGGGCACTTACACATTACCTCTAGGCTGTGGCCCACGGCTCTTGATTACTGCTCATAGCCACTTTGGGGAAAGATCTCTGGGGGGCAAAGGGAGAACCCGAAAGCTGTCATACGAGGTGACCCTAGTGGTGGCAGTTGGTAGCCATGGAACAGTCAGTATGACATTTCTTAGCACTGGCAGGGAGCCCCGTCAACGCAGGGCACATCTTCCTCAGAGACCTCCCATCTCTACAAATGGCAAAGGCATCCCACATTCCTCTCTCGACCCAGGTCTTCATGCTCCAAATGGCTGCCAGACAACATGGTTCTATGTGCAGCTGCTCTGTGCCACGCTTGGTCTAAAATATTTGATGCTGTGGCTCCAAACCGAAGCCTTGGAGACCTGCCCCTGAAATGCTCATTGCTGCTCCGTCCCCACTAGCTCCTAGCTAGTCACACCTGCAGAGGGAGGCAGGTCTGCCTAGTGTGTCAGGACTTGTTTTGGGTCATGGCCTCTGACAAAACCCCAGCTGGATCAACAAGAGCTCAGCAGAGCAGAGCCCTTACCTGCTGGCCTGGCCGTCCAGTTCCGCATGCTGCTTGGGTCTTCCGGGGCCACTCTGCCCCTCTGGGGTGTTCAGGTCTGCAGGCTGCTGGGCGGTTGCAGCTGGGTCTCCCTGGCCACCTCTCAGGGCTCTGGGCCTCTCCGGCCAGGCCTCTGCCACCTGGGCAGTTCCATTCTTTTCCTCCAAACCAGCCAAGAAGCTGAGGGAGAATGAGCCCTTACGGAGTGCTGCGGGGCCAGTCCTTGCTCTCCCACTGCACACTGAAGCCACCTCCCCCGGCCACAGCGGTCTCCTCTGCTGGAGGGTGGGGCAGAGCGGAGACTGTGCCCTCCCTGGGAGGACCCCAGCACTGCTGCTCCCTTCCCCCCGACAAAGGCAGTCCCCATCCGGAGGTGCTTCCAGCTGGCCTGTTCCTGCTCCTGGTGACCCTTCCATTACCTCTACCCTGTGTGATGGTGCTACTGTCTGCAGCTTCAAATACACTACACGGCCCTAGGCCAGGGACAAAGACCGAGCCAGGTTACTGAGAGCATGAGACTACCATTCCAGGAAACGAAAACCTACTTCACCATCACCTTGATCCTGACTCATTCGGAACTCAAACTTCCCAACTTCAGCAGCCTGCCTGCAGTCACTGGTGGGGCTACCCTGGGACAAAAAGATTAAGCCGCCAGCTACCTAGAGCCCTAGAACTCTTTATTCATGGAAGTTAATCCTGTAGTGGGTAGGTTTCCTGCCCTCAAGCTGGAATAACAAGGGGAGCAGTGACCCTACTTTTCAGACTACACCCTGAAAGCAATGCGATTCTTCCCCTCCAGTGGCTGGAGCCCAGCAGGGACAGCCTCATCTCTCCCTCCAGCTGCACCTCACAGATCTGCAGGCCGGTGGGTGCTGTGCCTCTCTACCTTGACAGTCTGCTGCAGCCCAGCCAGACACCAAAAGTAGCCCATGTGACCCATAAGAAGGAAATCTTAGTAAAACAGTCACAGGAAGTCTTGGTGAGCAACAACTCCCAGGCTCCCAGTGAATCGCCAAACGTTTAAAGATAGGCAAGGTGGTATTCGTGGCTGTAATAATGTCAAAGATCCAGTAGCCTAATACAGCCACTGCCAGTTCTTGACACAATCACTCTCTCCACATGGGAGAGAAAACCCTTCCATTCTTGCACCACCTCCAACAGACTCCACTGATTGACAGTCATTATCCCCAAGGAATGAATGTGCTTAAGGTTCACCTGTTCCTAAGCAGAAAGAACATAAACCTGAAAGGCCTAGGCTTGCAACATAACGAAGAGGAAAACAGTGTATGTTGTAAATGTGACGTCTAATAACAAGTTTAGTGGGGAGGAGATGAGTTACTTTGTGTTATTAAATGAAATCAGGCCAATAAAGCTTATAAAACGGGACAGCGGCCAGTCTTCCAAGTGTTCTTAAATAATTCTGGTGTAAGGATGTATTCCTCTTGGGCTGCTTTATTTAGCGTTAACTTTTCATAAAACGAAGAGTTTGCTATTTAATACAGTACTCTGTGCCAGGCAATGTGCCACATGCTTTACACACACAATGCATTTAACCCTGAATGATAGGGGCTGTTACCACTGCTATTCTACAGGACACTGAAGCACAGAGATCAGTAAGACATGCAAGGCCACCCGGCTAGTACGCGACAGCGCTTAGATGTGACCGCAGCACGGGAGTCCGTGTTCTTCACCACTGTACTGTACCACCTCGCACTGTACGTGCCATAAAGCAAGACTAAGAGCAGGGGAGTCCCACCAGTTTGGTAGTTTGTCTACCCGCCCAGCCCCATCACCCCTCCTCACCCAACGCTTGGGAATCAAGCCCCCCCGCGCCCCGCGTGCGCACAGCCCCCGCGCCCGGCCAACTACGGTGACGGTGACGGGTGTCCAGAGACGACCAACAGCAGGCCACGCTGCCCGACGACCCGGAGCCTCAGGGGCCCCCTCCGTGCCCTTGCGGGCAGCAGCTCCCTCCCCGCCTCCCGCCTCCGCCCGGGGGTGGCGAGGGTGCACACGGGCCAGACGCGCCTGCTCGGAGCCCGAGGCCGCTGGGAGCCCTCGGTGCAACAGGCCACAGGGGGAAGGGCGGCGGGAGCCCGGAGGCCGGAGGCGCGGCCCGGCCCATCTGTGGTCCTCGCGCGCCACCTGGCGGCAGAGGCCGCGCACAGCCGCAGGCGCACGGGGCCGAAGCCGCGCACGTCCCGACAGCCATTTCGCTTCGTGGACGGTCGCATTACCCATAAGCACACGATCCAACCCCGTCGCGGGAAATGGCGGTGCGCGCAGGCGCACACACGGCGGGCGCGCGCTCGCTGAGACACGCAAGCGCACATAGGGTGGTGCACTCGCTAAGACGCGTGCGGGTCGGGCACGCACACGCGCAGGCGCACGTTCTGCGCCCGCTGCCCGGACCCCTGGAAGGGAAGTGGAGTCTCTGTGTCCACCTCCTGTAATTGCCAATCCAAAATCTTCTTGCCTTCCCACATAAGTTCTAGATCTAGAAAGATCTAAAAGAGGGTTTGTTAACCTCGCCATTATTGACATTTTAGACTGGCGAACACTGTGTTTGGGGCTGTCCTGTGCATTGTATGACGTTGGACAGCATCCCTGGGACTCCATCTACTTGTTGCCCGTAGCACCCTCTTGCCAGTTGTGATAATCAATAGCGTCTCCAGACATTGCCAAGTGACCTCTAGGGCTTTGGGAAGCTGGGGAGCGGCCCCTGGTTCAGAATCACTCTGCTAGAATAATGGTTCTCAATCTAGATTGGACATGACAATAAACTGGGAACTTTTAAAACGGCATTGATAGTGAAGGACCATCCTGTAACAATTACACCTAAATTTCTGCCTGGGGCTCAGGGAGCTTCATTTTTTTTTTTTTTAAACACTTTCCAGGTGATTCTCGAGTGTAGCCAGAGTGGTGAAACACTATGATCAAGAAAGTTTTTGTTTGATTTTCCACACTTTTAAATATCAGACGGAAGTAGTTGGAAGCTTGGGCTCTAGAGGTGGCCACAACTGGGCTCTACTCCTACTCCGGGTTTGGGGAATCTTAGATGAGATCCTGCAGACAGGGCGTTTCACTCCTTAGCCAGCTGGGAATTACAGGTTGTCTTGAAAATAGGCTCCAAAGATCAGACTTCAAGAAAAATTTTCCCTGAAATTTTCCTTAGAGCCTTTTGCTTTGGGACTAAGCTTTGCTACTTGTGAGGCCTTGGACAAGTCACTTAACCTTTCCATGCTTCCATGTCCCTATCTTATCCATCTCACAGAGTTTCTGGGAAGATTATAAAGCACCTAGCAGATCCCACTATAGGTGTCAGTTGTAGTTTTCACTCTGTTAAGTGTCAGTGTAATTTGAAACAAACAAACAAAACCATAATAGGACATCACACCTTAGAGATCCGTTGCCCACCCCACCCTCAGCATCCTAGTTTAAGTAGGGATGACAAATATAAAACAGTAACTGCAATGTGGTGTGAAAATGCAAAAATGCACTCACCTTTTAAACACCTAAATCAGCCCATGTTCCTCTTTGGCTTAAAACTTTAAGTAAGTTCCAACTTCCTTATCATGGCTTACCAAGGCCCTGCTCCATCTATAGGTCCCCTTAGCAGCTAAGCTGTAGCCACACTATGCCTGAGAACATGCTAGGTACATTCCTATTGCAGGGTTTCGAGGTTTGTAGTTCCCTATCTGCAGCTCTTTTCTCCTTGCTCTTCCTAGAGGTTCCTTCTTCTCCATCAGGGATCTCCCGAGTCTTCCCCTTCCACCCACCTAGGTAGTAGTGCTCCCCAGCAGCATCACTGTCAATCTCAGCTCTCTGGCTCTTTCAGAGTACTTTCCTTCCCAGGAGGCACAGAGGCCTGGGTTCCAGGCCTTCGTTCTTCATTCTAATTAGGTGCAAACCTTGCAGGACTGTGGGGAGGGCTTTTGAGACATTTTGAGTAGAGGGCTGTGCACACAGTAGGTGCCCCAAAGTTAAGTAGCTGTTCTGATTATTAACAATGTCTGGTATTAAAGGCCACTCATCCCCTGCCCACCTCAATGAGCCTCCTGTTCTACCACTCCCCCCCAAGGACCCTCGACACTGGCCACACTCAGCGCCCAGTAAACACTAGGGTGTTTGGAGTTCTTTCCATATCCTGTTTCCTTTGGTTGGAGGACTCCTTTTCATCTTTCAAGATTCAGCTCAAAAGCCACCTCCTCCACGAGGCTGTCCTGGGCACTAACACCTCTCCTGCTCCACCGGGGGTTGTTGTTCCAGTCTGGGCTGGGCTTTGCCTCCCATCAGCCATGTTTGATTTGTCTGTGTCTCAAGTCTCCAGAACAGGACAGGTGCCATCCCAGTGGCTGCTGACTGAAAGAGTGGCTGACTCCTGATTACGGAGGACTTCCTGGCTGGTGCAACAAGGTAGAGTGGAAGGCTCTGGGGTCCCAGAGGCAGAGGCCAGAGGGATCCAGCTGGGGCTCTGGCCTGGCCACAGGCCTCGCCAGCCTCCCCTAGCATTAGAAGGCTAATGCACAGCTGAGCGGCCTTTCTCCGCCACAGAAGCTCAGTGCTCCCGGCTGATGTCTTACCCCTTCACATCTGCCTCCATGTCCTCCAGGTCTGTGGGGCTGTCAGTCTTCATGTCAGCTGGGACAGCATAGGCTGAAGTGGCAGCTGAGCTGAGGGAGGAAGCACACAGGCCCACTGAAGCCTCAGACCAAAGGAGACTGGGGGCCCAGGTCTTCCACCTCCCTGCTGCCTTCTCACAGGAAAGGGGAGCCCACATCCGCCAGTGAAGTCTGGTCTTCTGGCCTTGCCCTTACTGTGGCCCTGTGAGACTGTGTGTAACATCTTGTAAGCCCTGGCTGTGGCCTTAGCACCTGAGTTCAGACCAAGCACTGCCCACGACCAGCTCAGAGTCCCTGGGGGAGTCTTCTCCTGGTTTGGGGTTCCAGTGTCCTTATGTGACCTATACCTTCTGGGGCTCTGTGGGAGTCCAGAAAGATCATTCCTTACTACATGCTCCACACAGCTATAGCTAAATGGCTGCTCCCACTGGTGAATCGGTAGATGAAATAGGGCAGGAAGCTGCTGCCTGGGAAGGCACAACCTCTTCCCACTGCATCCTCATGGCCCCGGAGCCATGCGCCCTCCCCAGCCACCTCCACATGATCCCTGGGACTGAACCCTCTAGTGCCAGCTGTCTGTCCACGGGATTCCTCCCCTGACTCCCACTCCCTGGGCTGGGCTATAATCCCTACAGAAGTTCACCAAGACCTCCTAGTAGGGTACCTTCCCCAGCTCTGCCTCCCTGTGCCACCGCAGCTTGGTCCCTGTAGATAGTTGCTGAGCTGTTTAGGTCCCCTGCCTTATCACTGTGTATGGTGGGTGGGTCCAATTCCCGGTCAGGGCCTCTCCCAGCCTTCCCTCTCCTGTTGATGATCACCTTATGTGAAGGTGGCATGGAGGTGAGAAGTGCAAGGGGTATCCTGGGGCACTGGGACTGTGCCTGGCAATGGGATTAGGCACTGGGCAATTACCCCACCCTTACCTGGTGGCCAAGAGTCCATGACTGTGAGGCTGAGAGTTGGCATCGTGCACGTCCTGATCATCCAGGAGAGCTGAGCACAGCCTGTGGAAGGAGGCCAAGCCCAGTCTGGGTTCAGGATTTGTGTCTGGATGTCTGCTTCCTCCTGAAAGGGTGGCTTCTGTCCCCAGCAGATGATGGGGACTGAGGAGCTGCTCTGGACATGATACTCACATTGCATGGCTGATGAACACTAGGGCAATACTGCCTCGTGGTTCCGCACAAGCTCCATGGAGGCACATTGCCCAGATTCAAATCATGGCTTTGCTACCTCCCAGCTGTATGACCTTGGGCACATCATCTGATCTCTTTGGACCTCAGTTTGGTCATCAGTGAAATGGGATGATAGCTGTGTTTGTCTTATAAGTTTTCTACAAAAAGTGAGCTAATAGCTGTGAGGTACTTAGTATAACGCCTGGGCCCTAACATGTGCTAAAGGGTTCCTGTTATTTTTACTGACCCCTGTGGCTGTTTGCAGAAGTAGCAGCCCTCTGCAGTGCATGCATATCTATCAGCTTGGCACAGATGGAGTGGCTAGTCTTCCCCAGCCTTCCCAGGGCTCCGCCACATTCTCTGACTCTCCACAGTCAGGCAAACTGATGCTCACAGGACACCTCACCTGCACAAGCCTGCACCCTCCACTCGAGTAGCACGCTCACTAAGAGTTCCTCATGTTTGGCCCCAAACCCATTTACACCAGTTGTACTTGCGACCTTAATCACTAAATTCAATCATTAAGCGAACTCATGAAAAGGAATGGAAAATGAGAGTGTCTATTTTTTCCATGTGAAACAACCTTTTCTTTGGAAAGACACTAAAGGCAATTTTCTTAAAAATCATTTTCCAAACAAGTATCAGTAAGACAATAAAAGACTGGGTTAAAAAATCATAAAAATCTAGAAGGTTCTTCAGATTTTGCATGTTGATTTGCGGTTTGGCTTCATTTTAGAGAAACTGAAAGCAGAAAGCAGCCCTCCTTCGTGAGGGTGTGTACGCAGGAAGGATGACGAGGGATGAAGCATGAAGCGGCAGACCCGGTCCCAGTGGAGCAGAGGCTCGCACAGCAGCCACTAGCGAACCGAGTCACTCCGCAGGGCTGTGGGGTCCGGCACACAGCGATGCAGGCTGCAGGGGCTGGGCTCTCCCCCGGCCCTCCCCACTGCTGGCAGCTCCAGGAGCCGAGGCCCTGTCCCAGTGGCCCTTCCTTGCACCTGCTGAGGCACACGGGCCAGAAGCTGGGGCCTGCTGTCCCCCTCCCGGGCTGGCGTATGCTCCTGCATGTGGAAGTTGGGGCTCTGGGTTCAGAGAGCAGTTGCAAACTGATAACATTAGTGCGGGCAGGGGCCCCCCAGGGGGTTTGGGGAAGCAGGGGCGGCTGGGAGGGCTGCTCCACCAGACTGCTGCGGGGCAGGGGTGCGGCTGGGGGCGTGCCCTTGTGCCTCTGCAGACAGTGGCTTTGCCATCTGCTCCGAACCGTAAGGGCTGTGGCAGAGCTTGCAGCTGAGCTATCTGTGCCTACGTCTGCGTGCCTAGCTTTTGTCCCCGAGGATGACTCATGCTCGGTTTGGAACCCTTGGAGACAGGTGACCCGACTTCCCAAGAAAGGAGTCCCTGACTCCGCCCAGGTCCGGGAACTAGGAGCCCAGCCAGACATGCTCGTTTCCTAGCTCATCTCACTGCGGCCACTGACCCTCACGCAGAGCCGGCCAGCAGAAGAAGGTGGGCAGGAAAAGGCGGCTTCGGGGCTTCTGAAAGGCAGGGAGAAAGAGAGAAAGGATGTCCTCCTAGCTTGTCCTCAAGCTCAGCCAAGAAGTAAGAGGGTGCTGATTCATCTGTCATTTGGTCATTCGTTTGCCAGTTTGTCCCGTCACTCACTCCCCACATGCTCCTCCTCCCTCCTGGCGGGGCTCCTGTGCCTGTTCCGGAGGAGCCTGAGAGCCACTGGCAGAGGGCAGGAGAAGTGGAGAGCCCAGGACAGGGCTGGAGATGACAGAAGCAGTGCCTTGGAAATGCCCAGTGCTCCGCCACTGGCAGCCCAAGCCTGACACCAGGGCATGAGAATCGACAGCTCGGGGCCACCTGCTTCCCTCAGGCAGCTCACCCTCCTCTCTCAGAGCCAATGTCTGTTCCAGTCAAAGCTTCAGGTGGGGAGCCTGTGGCTCCAGGTCCCACGTTGCTGTCACATGACTGTGCACTTGACCTGTTATGGGAAGACAAGCGTTTGCTGACTCTGTGATTGGGTCTTGATCTAATCTAACTCAGACGTCCTGAGAGCATGTGTCAAGGACGAGAATCCCAGGCCCTCAACTGCCACCCCTGCGCTGCTCCAAGGAGAGACAAGCCAACATCAGCAAGTACTTCTGCTTCCCTTCCAAACCTGACCGACTGGGAGCAAGGTGGTGACTTGGAAAGAGGCTGGCACAATGAGGGGCCAGGGGCCAACAGAACCGGGGGGAAGGCATCTGGGGCCACTGACAAACCACAGAGGCCAGGGCAGAGACAGGGCTCCCCCAGCCATCCCAGCTCTCCTTTCCTCATTCCTGGGGCGGAGTCCAAACTGGGCTCCACACTGAGCCACCATCTTGGTAGCAGGCACACTGGATTCCCACTGAGGAAATGCCCAACTCTCAGCCCCTAGTTGCCACACCCAGGTCGCCTGGCTTGAAGCCAGTGGGCCAGTCTTGGGATGGCCGGGCACAACCATCCACTCTGGATCTATCATCCCCTGCTATGGCTCTGCCTCTCGTCTTTGCCAGCACCCCCCATGTCTCCCTTTGACCACAGGTCATCCTGGAGGTCACTGCTAGGTACTCTGCTGGGGCTCATGCATCCTTTGGTCACTGACTTCTCCAAACTTCTGGCTTGGCAGACTTGCTTGCCCTGGCCAAGCTCCTGAGTGATCTTGGCAGGGGCCTGCCCCTCTCCAGGCCTCACGCATTCCCTCATCCATTCTTTCAACAGATATTCACTAAGGACCTGCACTATGCCCCTGGTACTGGGGACATAGCCAGGAATGGGACAGTCTTGATCCCAGCTTGATCCATTGACCTTGGACCCCGGGCCACATGTGTTCTGTCTCCCTGCGCTGAGTTACCTTTCAGTGTCTGGATCAGGGCCCTTGAAGGCCTCCTCACCAGCCAAGCCTCTCTTGGGCCCTCTGGGGCCGGGGGCATCTGTGTCTTTGGAGCCCGGGGAAGACCTATGGAGAAAAGCAACATCTTCCCTCAGGTGGCTCACATTCAACAAGGCCAGAACTGACTGCCCTCCCCCAGCTGCCCTCAGGCTGGGGGATGACCAGGCAGCTGCCACCTCTGCACTGGGGACTGTGCCCAGCTTGCCAACCCCTTTCTCCTTAATTCCCTCAACACTGTACCCCATGTAAACATCAACATGGCGCTCCATTATTTCAGCTCTCTGCATATAACATGGGGATCTCTTGAGCCCTGAGTTCTCTCCTAAATCTCACGTACAAATTCTCAAATGTCTCTTTCTTGGTAATTTGCATGTGAATGCCCACAAAGAAACTTGTCATACATTCAGTCAAAATATATTAAGTATTTCTCTCAGCCCTCCCTGGCCCTCCCCTGGGTCCCTAGTACTGCAGTGAGTTATGGAGCAAAAGGTGCAGGCAGCCTGGGTGGGAGTCCCGGATCAGCCTGCTTTTGGCCATGTAACCTTGAGCAAGTTACTTAACCACTGAGGGTCTCAGTTTCCTCATCTCTAAAATAGACATAGCGCCTGCATCTACATTCTGCATGGGGACACCTGCTGGGCTGTTGGGGAAGGGCTTGGTGAATTCCAGCTTTCCGGGGAGGTGGGTGAGGGCGCCCTGGGGCATCTCGGCGGGCTGTTAGACTAAGTGCCAGAGGATTTATGAATACTGGAGGCAAAGGACAAGCAGGGACCTTCCTCAGAGGCAGCCTGGCATCCTCCAGCGTCTCTCAGGATCACTTTGACTCTGTTTTGCAGAGACTGGTCACCTTAAGGACACCAGGGGAGCAGCTTCCAGGATTGCCTATTTGAAGACATCATCACAATGGATGATTCTCTATCATTCCAGCAGCAATGCTCCTACATTCCTGTTCTGGGCCAGGCCCCGGGCTGGGGCCCAGGGTGCATGTAGGGAACACAGCCCCTGCCTTCCAGGCACCCGGACTTGCTGGGGCACACCTGTCTATGAGTGGACAACTATGACTCCATGTGGAAGATTCTCAGGTGGAAGTATGAACGTAGCACGACGTGAGCTCGGTAGGGAAAGGCCCTCACGTAGGCCACCTCAGAAAAGTCACAGGGATGGGACGTGCCCCAGAGGGGAGACATCTGAGGTGGGAGGGGCAAGGGCATCCCAGGCAGAGGCTACAGCCTGCCCAGATGGAGGCCCATTAGGCTGGAATGGAGGCAGGCCAGGCGGCGAGGAGAGGGTCTCGCCAGGGAGGTGGGGCGCCTTGCATGGCTTTCCTCGGGGGATTGGTATGACTACTTCTGCCTTTCAGAAATGTCCCCCAGGTGGGTGTGTGGAGGAGGGTCTGAGACGAGGCAGCAGGAGATGGTTGCAGATAGCTGGCTGAGTGCTGGGGAAGGCCAGGACTCAGTGCCCGACTGGGGCAGGGGCATGGAGAGGGAGGAGCCAAGGAGGAGAGTAAAGGGACCTAGAGAGCCTTCAGGGCTCGTTCTGGACATCACCCCCTCCAAGAAGCCTTCCCGAAACCCCCTCACTCCCATGCTGGTCACAGGCCCCTGCTCAGAACTCCCGCTGCAGATCTCTGCTCACTCCCACCTCAGCTTCCCTGCGGCGCAGCTCCCCGGCATCCTGCCTGTCTGCTACCTGGCTATCTGCCCCCTACCTTGGGGCAGGGGCCAGGTGGGCCATGCTGCCTGCTGGTTGTCCACCCCCCAGTCCCTCCCCCACCCCAGCACTGGGCATGGTGGCATTGTGAGCTGCGGAGGCTGACCCAGGGACCCCACCCCGTTCCCGGTTGTCCCCCACACAGGCAGGGCCACTACCCCAGTGGCCTCTGGGGGCTCTGCAGACCCCGTGTGGCCACCCACACAGCTGGCCCGTCCCACCTCAGGGCTCACCATGGCTGAGCCACTGCAGCCCGCTGTGTCTGTGTCTGCCTCCCCCACCAGACGGACCGTCAGCAACTCTCGCCGGGGGGCCATTGCCACTGGGTTCCCAGGGCTGGGCCGGCCCTCCCATCGACCCAGTGCTTGCACCCCAAGGGTTGCAGAGTGAAAGAATGAGATGGCGGCACAGAACCCAGGCCAAACAGGTCTCCCACCCACCAGCCCTCAGGCCTCATCATGTGAATCTCAACTTTGCTGACTCCATCTCTAGAATGGTGTAGAAGGAACCCAGACAGCACAGGGCCCCTATACCTCATTCCTTCCAGGTCTGGGGCCACTAGGCGAGGTCCTGTTCCGGGTGTCAGGATCTGCAGGCTGACAGTCTCCTTACCTCTTGTGCTACGGCCAAAGGAAAGAGCCAGGGTGTTGCTGGCGTGAAAAGCCTCCCCCTTCCCTGTCTGTGCTGGGCGCCGAGGGCATTCTCCTTCAGGCCCATGGCTTTTTTGTTTGCTCTCATCTCCTTTGTGGTCTTGAGCCTTCTCGGTGGTGCAGTCCAGCTTAGGTCACTGACCTTCATGCCAGTCGCCCACCTGCGAGCCCAGCCCCCTTCAGGCCCAGGGAGGGGTCCAGCCCTGACGCGGCCTCTAGCTGCTGCTGCAGTGCTGCCAAGCCTGCCTGTTCACACACACAAGCCAGGAGGTGCCCAGCTCTGCTCTGTGCATGTCGCCTGTCTGACCGTGTACAGTGATGAGTGCAGCATAAAGCCCCTGGCCCCACACAGCTGTGTCCCATCTAAAGCCCAGGGGGTCAAGAAGCAGGAACAAACACATACTTTCTCACTGGGGTTTCTTCCATTTAGTATCTTGGACAGCTTTGGGAAGTTTTACACGTCCTTCCTATTTTACATATGAGGAAACTGAGGCACAGAGAGGTCAAGTAACTGCTCAAGATCACACAGCCAGTACAGGGCAATGCCAGCATTTTGCCTTGTGCCAGAAGCTGTGCTCTTATCTTTCCCCTGTGACTCTTCCAGTCAGCATGCTGGGCGTACCCCATAGGGCCTGCCCTGGCTGGCTGAGGCCGAGACCCAGGAAGGCTTGACTGGTGCTCTGACGGGGGCCGTAGGCAGGCCTAGGGGCCCTCACATCGGCCGGCTTCTGTGGAAGAGGGCATCTGAGTGAGCTCGGTTTGGGATGTGGGTGGGCGTTACCCACAAGAGGGAAAAAATGAGACGAACTCAAGAAACCAGGCCCCGGGGTACATGGACAGAGGGCCCCTTCCACAGCTGAGCAGTGGCAGGGTGGGTTTGATGCGGGACACTTGGAGCTGTGGGGCAGATAACCAGGCAGACCGGGGCTGGGCTGGGGGGCTCATGGGACAAGAGCTGGAAGAGCACCTGGGGCCCCCGAAAGTTACCTGTAGAGACAGGTCCTCTGCCCCTCTGGCCTCAGGGTCTTCCAAGGGTGCCAAGGAGGCGTAGCTCTTACCAGAGTTGGATTTGGGCTCAAAAACAGCAGCAACAACAGGGCAGTGGCGCTCTCAGCAGATCACAGCACGATTCAGTGCCAAGTACAAGGGGGGACCACAGCTCTTCATCCCCAGACGAGAGAGCACCGTTATTTACTTGGACACTCAGGGCTCAGAAAGCAGGGCAAATCAAGGCCCCGCCTGGAGTTAGGTCACCAGCTTGGCCTGCTCCTGCCCTGCACCCCACTGCCTGACCTTCCCACCCGATGGGCTCCCAGCAGGGCTAGGCCTGTGAGAGGGGCTGAGGACTGCAGAGCCACCTTCCCCGGCAGGAGGCACGCCTAAGAATGGCAGGACCAGCAGCCCGGTGGCAGACCCTCTCGGGGTCTGTGGTTGCCCCTGGGCTCAGTACTGCTCCGGTTAAGTTGACACAGACCAGAGGGAGGCACTCTCTCCTTGGACGCCAGGCTGTTTTGCTACTTTCTGTCCTAGGACATCCAGCCAGACAGCCCCTCCTGATTTCTGTGCCCCATCCTATCACTGGGCACGTGGGACACTGACCTATAGGGCCTGCGTGGAGGCCCTGAGAGGTTTCACAGTGAGTGAGTGGCAGGCAGGCCTGGCAGCCACACGCCCTGGTCAGAGAGTAGCTGATTACCTGCTCAAGCCAGGAGAGGATCTTGCCGGAGCAGCTGGGTCCTGGCTCTTCTCGAAAGGCTCTTCATCCTCCACCACCTCAACCCTTTGGGCGAGAAGAGAAGCAGGTGTACCAGCTGCCCTGGAGCTTGCGGCCCTTGAAGGACATGCTTTCTTTTAGTGGTGTCTGTGGCCATGAAGTGGCCCTGGGGAGGGGTTCAGTGACGACAGTGTGAGGTAAGTACAGCATACTGGGTTGAATAGGGTCCCTCCGAATTTCATGTCTACCTGGAAGCTGTGAATGCGACCTTATTTGGAAATAGGGTCTTGGCAGATATAATCAAGTTAAGATGGAGTCACAGTGGGGTAGGGTGAGCCCTAAATGCAACGACTGGTATCCTTATAAGAAGAGGGAAATCTGGATGCAGACACACAGAGGCCAGAGTAACGCATCTCCAAGCCAAGGAGCACCAAGAGCTGCCTGCAGCCACCGCCAGCGGGCAGAGGGGCCTGGGATGGCTTCTCCCTCAGAGCCTCCACGAGGAATGAACCCTGCTGACAGTTTGATCCTGGACTTCTAGCCTCCAGAACTGGGAGAGAATACCTTTCTGGGGTTTACGCCCCCTAGTGTGCGGTAGTTTGTTACAATGGCCCAGGAACCTAACGCTGATACAGCCAGTAAGAGCGTACCACTATCTGTGTCTTCCTACTCCCAGACCTTTGTGCCAGCTGCGAGGCCTCTGCCTAGGGCGCTTGGCATGATGGCTCCTCCTTGTTTTAAATCGTTAGTTCACTCTGCCACCTTGTCATCTGTGTACTTAACAGAATATTCCCCCAAATTCAACTTGCCAGACGTTTCTTCCCTGTCCTCCGCAAATATTCTCCTTTCCGAGAAGATGTCTTGTCTCAGTAATGGTGACACCTCTCGCTCACTCAGCCGGAGTGTCCTGACTGCCTGATCATTCTCTGTTGAACACTATTCACCTTCCAGGGCCCATCTCCAAAGTCATGGTCACTTCCAAAGGCCTGGCCACAGAGGGGCTCCTGGTGACAAGCTTCTGGACCTCAGCCCAATGACCCCTCCTGCCAAGGCAGTGCCCAGCCTGACCCTCGGAGGGTGAGGCGGGGAGCAAGGGAACAACTCTTTTGTACCCCTGTAGCTATTTTTGTTTCAAAACCCCAGGGGCTGCTGGACATACTACAGTTTTATCTTGGGTCAAGGGGCGACCCTGTCAGCTACTGGCAAATGAAAGTTTCTCACCATAAACTGTGTTCTCTCAGCCAGGCTCCTGTCTACACAGAACTGGCTGTCAGGGCCACATGTGCCGCCAGAGCCACCCAGGTGCTCACCTGGCCTCCAGAAAGAAGCCACCAGCCCCTTACAATGTCACCTGCTCAGGGACAGCAGCCCCATCCCTCTGCACCTGCTCTCCCTGGGGTCCCCATGCCACCCCTGCTGACAGGAGACCTTCTCTGCAGCCAGCAACAAACTTCCAAGGCTCCCGTGCTAACACTTACCTCTGTGCAATGAATGGGGACTGCATCTCCTGGGCAGGGCTGCTGGAAAGGGGACAGGAAGGAGACATGTTGGGTCGAACCCACGGACAGATGACATCATGAGCACTCTGCTCCAGATGGCAAGAGCCAGACCTCACTGTCCCCGAAAGCGCATCTGGGAGTCCTGGAAAGTCTGGCTCGGAGGGTACACTCACCCCACCCCTCAGCAGCCAGAGGAAGACCAGGCCCTGAGAGGAAGGGAGCCGGCCCAGAGCGCAGAGCTGCGGGCTGCTCCAGCCGCCCCAGAGGCCAGGCCCGGCTCCGGCTCCTGCTGCGCAACTCACCCGGTGCTCTTCTTGGCTGCCGACAGGACGTAGGAGCGCTCCCGGGAAGCTGTCTTCCTCACCACACTGCTTGCAGCCTCTGACCTGCAGTGGCACGGGAAGGGGACATCAGGTGGCGGGGTGGGACTCGCTCTGGCAGCCTAGCTTGGCAGCTATTCAGGGCCACCCCAGGGAGGCAAGGAGCGAAGCCAGATTAGTGCCTGCTCCAAGGACTGTTCAAAGCAACACAAGCAGGTAGGTGCTAGTATCACCCACAATTTACAAATGAGGAAACTGAGGCACATGGGGCTTTAGTGTGACTTCGGAGTGACTTGCCCAATACCAGACACCCAGCTGGTGGGACAGTGGGCAGTCAGTGCCCAACAGCCTGGCTCCAGAGCTCCCACACCTGGAGACCCCTGCTGCCTTTAAGATGACTCGTCTGCCCAGCCTCCAGCACCACAGCTTTGCTGTGTTTCCTAAGCCGCAGAGGGGCCGGCAGACATTGTGACTGGGGACAGGTGAGCCTGGGTGGGGTCGCTTTATTTTCTCACGTCCCAGTTGCTGCCCAAGCACCTGGGCGTCACTCCGGAGCCTGGCCCCGCCCCACAGGCAAGTAGGCCCCACCCAGCCTCTGTACACACAGCACACACACAGAGGGCCCCCCCCCCAGGGCAAGCCCTGAAGCACTTGCCTCCCCACCCTCCATCCACCACAGATGAGGCTCTCCCCATAGAAGGTTCCTAGAGGGTCCCCTGCGCTGGCTCAGTGCTGGCTGGGTGGTTCCGGGCCTGAAGGAATGACACCCCTCTGGTCAACGGGCAGCACTGATGCTCTAAGTGCCGTGCACTTGGTCCCCTACTGGCACAATTCCTACTCCACCAGACTATGGAGTCTTGGGCCCTGTTACCTCCGTCTCTGCTCATCAGCAGAGAAGGGCGCCTCCTCCTCTTCAGCAACCCCTGATGTGGAGCTGGGCCTGATGTTGTAAGGTGCCCTGGGGGACGGGGCAGGGATTGAGGATGCTGGTGGTGCTGGGCCCTCCCCCCGCTTCTGCTCCAGCAGCATGCATCAGTGTCACTGCCTCCGCGCTGTGCTCCTGCCACTTCCTCCCCTCCCCGTTCCAACTCTAACTGGCCCCCAAGACCCAGTTCAAGCTTCACCCCTTCTCCAGAAGGATTCCGTAACTGCTGTCACTGGATGGTGGTGATGAGGGACAGCAACATAAAGCAGCAGGGCCCCTGGAAGGGCAGGTACAACCCATACTTCTGTGCCAGGCCCCTCTGTGGGCACGCAGCAAGGGGCCTTTGGTTAAGGCCCTAAGGGCAGCTCCCAAGCAATGCCCAAAGATTTATATTCAAGAAGCAGCTCCAATTTCAGCACAAAATGCCCTTAACTTGTAGGCTGCCAGGGCCAGCAGCATGCTCGGGATCATCAGGCCCCAGCCCAGCCAGGCCTGGCCCAGAGGGGTTCCAGAGACATGTCCGGGAAGCACAGCAGCAAGCTGCAGCCCCAGGGCCATGACCCACACCCCTGGCTCCACACTTATCAGCCCCTTCTACAAGCTTCCTACAGTCCCTGCTCTGTGTCAGATCGGACAGGGACAAAGCTTTCTGAGGCTTGTCACGCTGTGGTGGGCTCCAGGCCATAGCAGCAGCTGTCAGGACCAGCTCTCCCGGGCTGCCCTCAGTTGCCTGGTATTCAGGTTCATCTCTCGATTGCACACTCACAGCTTCTTGTAATCCTCGGTTGTCATCTTGTAGCCGGAGGAGGACAGACGGGAAGGCCCGGTGGGAGCTCCTCTCACCACACTGGCAGCACTGGAGAGGCAAGGGGTTTGCATGTGCCAACCTGCAGGTGCCCTCTCGCTTCCAGATTTGTCCACACAGCCCAGCAGGCACAGAGCAGATGGACAGTGGGGTGTTGTTGGCCTTTCTGCTTCACTTTCAACCCTCCAGACACCAGAACTTCTGTGCCACCCTGAGCAGGGCACGCATACACCTGGGGGCTTCCCATCCCTGCACTGCTCTCCAGGGCCTTGTCCTGCACAGGAGGAGAGCTGCCACCTGCCACCCTCACAGTCACAGGCACAGTACTCTCTCTGCCATGAGCTTGGCCCAGACCCTCACACCCACCACGGGTCTGCTGGCCAGCACCCCCTGGACACACCTTTTGGGAACTCCGTTGGCCTTGGGGAAGGGCTGCTGGGGATGGGACGAGCTGTCTATAGGCTTGGTGAACACTCCCCTAAAAGAGAACCCGGAAGAAGCAGTGCAGTTAGCTCCCCTGGGAGAAGCGGGCTTGGGGGAGGAGGGCGATGCCGGCAGGCAGCGGGAGGCAGGAAGGATTACCTACCGGATGATATAGCCAGTGGGAGCCCTTGGGCTTGGAGGCCTGCCAAGGGAAAAGAAGTTATGCAGTGAAGCCAGGCCTTGCTGCACAGCCCAGGCTACCCTGTCTCATCCTGCCACCACCAACAGCAAAGTGGGGCAGGTGGATGTTCCAGTGAAATCAGAACAAGGGCAGGAAGAGTGGATGAGCACTTCCTAAGAGAGCCGGCTACCCTTGCACCCCTAGCCAGGTGCCTGTTCTGCTATGCCTACCCCCTCTAGCCACTGTGATGCCCACATCCCAAGTCCTGATGGAAGTTTGGGGCAAGAGGGCATAGCGAGAGGTTGCTCAGTGGTTGGGAAACGTTAGGCTCCACACACTGGGTGCCTCCTGCTTGGGACCAGCCAAGGGGATTCAGAGGACTGGGTAGGAGACACAGTCAGAGCCATGAGATCTGGGCTCAAGGGCAGGAGACAAGGACCCAGCAGACAGCTCCTCTGTCCAAGAGGAGAGGAGCTTGGGGCTGGGGCAGCAAAGGTGGGTCTAAGACTCCATGCAGGCAGGTAGGAAGGGCAATGTAGAGCTCTCTCCCTCTGATAGACTCTGTCCTTAACAGGCGACAGCCTCCTAGAGGTGACCGAATTGCAGGAACACTTGGGGTGGGACCTGGGAAACGTCGCTTTCCCCCCTTCTAGCCACACAAGCATTTCTGGCTGAAGCACCTGTGGCCTGGGGAGGCTAGGCCATGGCCCCTGGCTGGCCTGGAACGCACCACCCCACACACAACCCCAACCACACATACTCACACACGCTGAGTGAGAGAATGAGCGGCAAGGTTTGTGCAGACTCCCGGCACCCCTGCTGTGGGGTCTGAGTTCCCATGCCCCAGGACACGCTTTCCATATGTGCCCCCAGGGCAAGGCCTGGGGTGAGCATTGCATCCCCCACAGTAAACAAGCTCTTAAAGACCTGACTATCTTTGAACCAGTCATCCTCGGGCCTTTGCCAACCTCACCGACCACAGGTGTCACAACCTCCCACAACCTCCCACGTCTCTGCCTGGCTCACGCCTGTGCTCCCTGCTAGGATGTCATCTCCTGAGGGGAGGGCTGGGTCCTTTATGCGCAGCACAGGAGCTGGCAGGCAGTGGGTGCTGGGTCAGTGATGGACAGCAGGCAAGGCCATCATTGCTGGGGGCAGGCCCGCAGGCTGTAGTCCCCTGGGGGCTCCTTTACTTCTCTGGAGCACTTCCTCTAGGACTGGGAGGCTGTGCCTGTGCTTCAGAGCCTCCCTGGACACCACTGTGCAAAAGCCCTTGAAACAGAGAGCGGATGGGCTGCTCCCTTCAGCCAGCTGTCAAAACGTGTCATCGTCAACTTGGGAGACAGTTGGAACAAACTTGTGAGTCAATCAGGGCTACCTACAGGAGGGACTCATGTGCCTCAGAGACATGGGGTTCTCAGTGACAGTTTCGATTCCAGTTGACAGCTGGAGACACGGAGGCCCAGCAGGGGAGACAGCTGGCAGCTGGCCCCAAAGCCTCAGGGCAAGGCCGGGGACTTGGCCCCCATGGTCCTGTACTCCCTTTCCCAAGAGGGAGCAGAGAAGAAAAGCCTGTCCTTCCTGCAGACCCGGAGTCTCCCCTTGGTTCAGGCTCCCTCCTTGTCCCCCGAGGACCGCAGCACGGGGCCCTCCCACCAGCCGCCCGGGCACCCCCTCTTACCTGGTCTTCAGGACCTCCCCAGTTGATGAAAAGGATGTGGCACGACTCCAGCTGGAGGGCAGCTCTCTGGGGAAAGAAGGGCCCCAAAAGAGTGGCTCCCAGACTCCCTGCCATCAGCTGCCTTTTGGCCTCCATTCCGCAGGCTGCCTGCCTGCCGGGCTCCCGGGGAACTTGACTCGCCGCTTGCATCTCACCCTCGCCTTCCCTAGCCTGTCTCACACTCGCTCCACAGGCGAACGCACACACGCACACATCCGCCCCGACACCCAGGGCTTCCCCACCCTGTGGCTTTGGCCGATTCCTGCCCTCAGCTGGATTGCTTTCCCATGCTCTGCCCTCCCCAGTTGGTCTGTGGCCACGTGGCAGGGCCAACTGGATGATGGAGGCCCCTTAGCATCTCCAGGTATGGACGGGCCCCCGCCCCAACCCGTCACTGCTGGCCCTCGGGCCTCCTGGACTTACAGGGTGTGGCCCTCCGAGGCATCCTGCTTGGCGATCCAGCTCTTGTCCCCCCTCAGCGTGGCTCGCACCTTCATTTGCCTGAGGACATTGTTGCGCTCCTCCTCGCCTGGTAGAAGAGGCTTCCCTGGCAGGGGCAAGGCCAGGCAGCCTCAGAAGCCAGGGACCCGGCCCCAGAACGCCAAGCCTTCCTCTTCAGCCCTCCCAGTATGTTGCAAGCGGGAGCCAGGTCTCACCTTTGGTGCTGCCCCCGAGAGCTGGGATACTCATGGCGTTTTCTCTGCTGGTCCCTTCTGAGCTGATTCAGCAGGGCCCCTGGGGCAAAGGCAAGCACATGCTTGTCACCTCATGCACCTTTAATGGCTGCGCGTCACCATGTGGTCCCTGGCAAACCAAGACCATCCAGAATGTCCTTTGGGCATCAGGAAGCAAGAGTTGGTGGAGTCGTGGGTGGTGGGCAGAGGCCACGGAGCGAGCACGTGCTGGATATTCCACCATAGGGCAGTGCGCCCCCACATCTGCCCAGGGCCACGCACCTGGGGGACACGGCGTGGGCTGCCAGGGGCTGTTTATTCGCGAGATGACTGAGAAGGACCGCCCACAAACCCTCTGAGAGACCTCGGATGGGCAGACTCCAGGCCTGCGGAGTGCGGGGGAAACAGTGGCAGCAGGAGAGCCTCTACACCGTCTAGCCCACAGCAGGGGGAGGGACTGTGGGAAGGGCGGGGGCCTTGGACCATCTCTCCCACTCCCTGGTAGCAGTTGGGCAGACCATGGGCCAGTCAGCTCACCTCTCTAGGCTGCCTCAGTGTCCTCATTTTGTAAAATGAAAGTTAAAAAAGTCTACCGTGCGATACTGCTGTAAGGGCAGAATGCACCAATGTTCTTGCAAGAGTCTGGCACCGCCTGGCACAGCAAAGACCGCAGGGCAGCTGGACAGGAGCCAAGCAGCAGTGACTCTGAACCTGCCCTTGCTGGGAAAAGGGACAGTCGGTGTCCTCCATCACTACAGGCAAGGCCCCGTGTGGTTCAGGGCTTGGCTTCATCTCCGGTGGGGAAAGCCCCAGGGCCTCACTGTCAACTCTTCATAGCCCTTGGGGACCAGGTGACGGTGGGGATCTGGTAAGGGCTTGCTGCTGGGTCTGGGAAGCTGGGGTGTCCCGTGTGCTGCTTCTGTTCCTCTCTCTTGTCTTCTCACCCTGCTCTCCCTTCTTGCCGCCTCTCTCTCCTTGAGGCATGTGCTGCCCTCCTGTGGCCAGTGAAGGGTGGGCTGTGGCGGTGTCTGAGACCGTCACAGTGCCACGGAGGACCGAAGGAGGGTTATGGGCCCCAGGAGGGATGTGCCCTGAGCAGCAGGGAGACGGAAGGCCCACGTGATGGGTCTAGTCGCAGCCCTGACCCGCCACAGCCAGCCCCTTGAGCCTCAAGAGAAGGGCTGGAGGCTCAGGTGAGCAGGCATGAGGGGAAGGAGGGGTCCTGGCTCTGCTGAGACAGTCCTGAGGCAGAGCAGCCTCCCTCTGCGGGACCTGTCAGCTTCTGGGCCCCTCCAGCGCCAGGCCTTGAGCAGCTGGGCCCAGCTGCCAGCTGGCAAGGCCTAGACATGTTTCTGAGGAGGTTGGGGCACACTAAAACAGGCAGGGCTAGGGGCCAAGAGCAAACCAAATGTGCCATGTCAGCAAGAGCTGGCTTTCCCATAAATGGCACCAAATGAGCAGCCCAGGAGGCCCGAGCCTGCTGTGTGCCAGGAATAGCACCTCATCACTGCAAAGGGCAGCTGCCATGGCAGAGTTCCACTGAGCAGAGCTCATTCCTTAGGTGATCCTCGGACCACACAGGCCCAGTGACCCCTCCCAGCAGCCCATGGAGTGGCCCTACTGGGTGGGACACATAGAGTCACCACCTGAGATCATGGCTACTCAGTCTTCTGCTGCTACCGGCTGACTGTGAGACCCAGGCAAGTCCCTCAGCTCAGGACCTCCTACTGTCTCAGTCCTTAGGTTCCTTCAGGAACTCTTGTCAGTTTCCCCTTCACAAACCTACTGGCCATTGTGCCCTGAAGTTGTCTGCTAAATCAGAACCAATAAGCCACTTCCAAAAAGAGGACAGACCCATAAAATGCAGAATGACAAAGACAGAGGGACCGCTGGAGACTGCTGAGCCAAGGGACGCTGTGAGAGCCCTCGGCACGGGAGGCGGAGCTGCCTCAGCTAAGGCCTCCTCAGAAGGCTCAGGGCCTAGTGCCCCACCTCCCCAGGCAAAGGCCAGAGCTGATGCTTCGGCTCGGAAGTCAAATGTCATTTTTTGATGGGACAGCAAATCTGAAAGTCAGGTAGCAGTCGTCACACAGGACTGAACAGGAAGGCAAATCTGGGACAAAATGATGAGCCCCAGCCAGATGGGTCTCATTCATGAGGTCTGAATCTGTGTCTGGCTGGAGAGCTGGCTTCTCTGTCCACTTCAGCACCCCTCCTCTCCTCCCACCTGCCACAGCCCTGGCTCAGGCCACAGTCACTTCTGATTCACCACCCCCTGGTTCACCTGCACTGTGTCTCCTTCCAGCAGCACTCAACAGTCCCAACGTGGCCCACATCAACCCTCTGAGCCTGGGAGCAAACCCCCCCAGTCCCCTGACTCAGCCATTTTTCTCCCCCACGCCCAATGTCAACATCGTGCTCTAAGCAGACCATGTGCGCCAGCATCCCTGGAAGGTGGGCCTGTCAGAGTAAACCCTGAGGCTTTGTTTATGCTGTTCTCCCTACCTGGAATGCCCTCCAACTTCTCCCGCTGGGCTGAGCCCTGCCCTTCGCTCAGGGTCCCACCTGTCCTGCCAGCCCTGCTCCTACTGAGCTCTCCCTCCTCTGACCTGAGTGCTTGGTACTGTGGACCCAAGTCTTCCCAGGCAAACCTGCCACTCCATCAGCCTTAGTGAGGACAGAGCCCAGGCAGCTCCTCACGCATGCAGCACATAGTCTGAACTCACCGCCACCAGACTGGAAAAGGGCAGGGGACATGCTTCCGACTCAGCAAACATTGCCACCCCTTCTTGGGCCAGGTCTCCTCTCAGAGCCACTATTCCCTCCACTCGTCTGAGCCTTCTGGGAGAGCGGGGCAGAGGGACCAGCCAATCAAAGGGAGGCTGGGAAAACTCTCATGACAGGCAGGAGCAGCTTTGGAGAAGGGGAGGCAGACCCCTTGGGAGGACATTTCCTGGGCAGCTCTCACTCACTGTGTGCGATGGTGAGCATTCGGCAATGATCTAAGTTCCCAACAGTTGTATTTAAACATTACGATACATCACCCAGGCAAATAACGTGCAGCCATTACACATGACACTGATATACAATCTCAACTGGGCTTTGTGTGTATGGTTTCCATATAAACTTACGTGCAAAGGCAGCTTTTAAAACAAGACATACAGCCATTTGACCCAGGAATCCCACTTCTAGGAATTTACCCTAAGAATGCAGCAGCCCAGTTTGAAAAAGACATATGCACCCCTATGTTTATGGCAGCACTATTTACAATAGCCAAGAAATGGAAGCAACCTAAATGTCCATCAGCAGATGAATGGATAAAGAAGATGTGGTGCATATACACAATGGAATACTATTCAGCCATAAGAAGAAAACAAATCCTACCATTGGCAACAACATGGATGGAGCTGGAGGGTATTATGCTCAGTGAAATAAGCCAGGCAGAGAAAGACAAGTACCAAATGATTTCTCTCATATGTGGAGCATAAGAACAAAGGAAAACTGAAGGAACAAAACAGCAGCAGAATCACAGAACCCAAGAATGGACTAACAGTTACCAAAGGGAAAGGGACTGGGAAGGATGGGTGGGGAGGGAGGGATAAGCGGGGGAAGAAAGGGGGCATTATGATTAGCATGTTTAATGTGGGGGGTGGGGGAAAGGGGAGGGCTGTGCAACACAGAGAAGACAAGTAGTGATTCTGCAGCATCTTACTGCGCTGATGGACAGTGACTGTAATGGGGTTTGTGGGGGGGACTTGGTGATGGGGGAATCTAGTAAACATAATGTTCCTCATGTAATTGTAGATTAATGATACCAAAAAAAACAAAAAAAAACAAAAAAACCCAAGACATATAGGATGGTGCCATTTACATAAACAGACATGTACATAAAAATGCATAGGGTAAGAAGCATCTGAAAGGAGATACACCAACATATTTTGCTCCTCTGTGTATTTCTCATTTTCCTATCAGGAACATATATTGATAAAAAGTAAACTGTGGTTTAACCAAATGAAATGAGAGCTGGGGCTGCTCGGATAGTTAAGTCCAAAGTTGATGCCAGGTGAGCAGTGCTGAGGAGGGACAGGGAAGGGAGTGGAGGGAGCAGTGAAATCTCTCCGTCAGCCCAGGGGGACATCCCAGGGGCCAGGGGCTGCTTGGGCATCTAGGGTTGAGCTGTACCGCCAGGGACCCAGACTCCCCACACGGCAAGGCGTCCTCCAGGAGCCTGCATCTTCTCTGCCCAGAAGCTGGGGTCAGGACAGAGTGCAGGTGGGCATCTGATCCCAGCAGAAAGGGCGCAGCAGCAGCTGCTGCAGTGGCACAGCGCAGACCCATCCCCAGGAGCAGGAGGCCGGCTGCTGCTCAAACACCCGGGGCATAGCAGGGACAGAATAAAACGCATTTTGCACACATGGGCTCCCAAGTCCCAGCTCCCCCGCCCCTGCCTGGGGACTACAGAAGGCACCACGCTGGTCCCTGGAAGAGGGAGGAGACAATGGCGGGTGGGTTGAGCCTGGATGTCTGCTGTGTTCTTGTAGAAAGGCCCCACTACCAGAACGGCACATCTGGGCCCCAAGCCACACTTTCAGAGGGTGGCGGGTGCAGCCGGAGTGTGAGCCTGGACACACTGTCATCCAGCTGACCCCACATGAAAAAAAAACAAACCCAGAATCCCCTCTGAGGAGGGCAGTCCCTCACCCTGCAGCCCTGGACTCAATGCCCTCTGTATCCACCATGCCAAGTCTATCATGCTCCAGGGCTTTTGCACCTGAGATGCAAGATGCAGACAAAGTTCAAGAAGGCATGGAAAGAGAGAAACTGCTGTGACAGGGGCCCCTACACCTCCCTACTCACCCCATGGAGAAGGTGGAGAGTAAAGCGAGGTGCACATTGGATTGCTAGAACATCCCATCTCCAGCTTCCCTCAGAAGTGGGGCTGAAGACCTCCTGACTGCCCAGGCCTCCAGTCTGGGCACTTGGGCTTCCAAATTCTCCTGGGCCCGCACCGCCCATGAGCCCTGCCATCCAGACTGGCCTCCGCACCTGAGTGTAAATATA